GTCAGGGAGTGCCTCTGCAAACTGAAACGCTTTGAAGTCAGTGGTTTTCAATCCTTTTAGACTCAAGAGCCTCCTCACTAAACTCAAGGCCCTCCCTGGAAAACACCAGCTCTTAGTTTTTACTAATTTTTTGGATACAGAAAAATACTACAGCAATTCGTAGAATCATGCAAAACGAGGGCTGGAGGAGATCTCAGGAGGACACATCTAGTCCAACCCCAGCTCACAGCAGGACCAGCCCCAACTAGATCATCCCAGCCAAGGCTTTGTCCAGCCGGGTCTTAAAAACCTCCAAGGATGCGGAGTCCCCCACCTCTCTAGGGAGCCTACTCCCTCCAAAATTGTTCTGTTTGATGGGATGGATTGGTTAGGTGCCTCAGGACTAGATGCCCTCTGGGGGGTCCTTTGCAGCCTGTTTTCTCCACCCGCCTATGAAAAGTCACAGAGGGCAGGATGGCTTTAATGCTCCAGATCCTATGTGAAATCTCAGATGTCTCGGTAGAGCCGGTATCTTTTATTAGATCAACTAAATAGTTGGAGAAAAAAAAAATTCTTTATTTGCAAGCTTTTGGGCCCACACGCTCTTCCTCAGGCAAGGGAGCATGCACAGGGTGCAACACTTCACCCAGGTAGAAATGAAACTTCATACTGAAGTCTCGGGACTCCTGCAGCAAACGCTGTGCAGCTGGGCTGACAGTCCCTGGTCTCTGGGCCGAGCTCCCGCATGCCGCCGTCACCCACGGGAGGGCGCCCTGGAGCCCCGCAACCCTGCGGCCCCGGCCTGGGCCTGATGCCCGGCTGGGCGACGCCTCTGCCGCAAGAAGGCGGGAAGGAAGGGCGCATGCGCACGTCGGAAGGGCCCAGAGAGACGCGGCCCCGCCCCTCCGCGAAGCCCCGCCTCCCCGCAGGGTGCCGCTCTCGTGTCACGTGGCGGGATTGTCACGCGGGTGGTCACATGACGGCGAGGAGGGTCACATGACCGGCGCGGGCAGCATGGCGGGCGGGCTGCTGATGTGGTTGTGGCTGTGGCTGCTGGCGGGGCCCGGCGGCGCCGTGTGGCCGCAGCCGCAGGACGTGCGCGTGTGGCCGGGCAGCAGCTCCCGCCTCGTGCCCGGTCGCTTCCGCTTCGGCTATGCGCGCGACTCGGCAGTGGGGCCGGGCTGCACCGTGCTGGACCAGGCTTTCCTGCGCTACTGGCGCCTGCTCTTCGCCGCCCAGCGCCGCCCGCCAGGTGAGGTGGGGGCGGCAGGCAGTGTCCTGGGGCGGGAGGCCCATGGGAAGATCTCGGGGCCTGGAGGCCATCTCCTGCCCCCAGCCGGGCCCACGGGTGCCTGCAGCTGGGCAGCCAGGTAGTTGCTGCGGGCGGAGGAGAGGAGATGCTGCATGGCTCCAGCCTGTCTGTGCTCCTCACGCTTGCCAGAAAGGCGCCGGGAACCAGGTCTGCAGCAGGGTCGTGGTCTCCCCTCTCCTCTGTGGCTGTGAAATGTAGTTGACCTACTGTTATATCCTCCAGAGCCTGCAGCGGGATCCCCAGCTACTAGCGCCGCATGGAGATCCTCTCCCTCCCATGGCATTGCTGGCCTTGAGTGGGGGATCTTCAAGCACCAGCTTTGCTGGGTTGGGCGCCGCGTGTAGGTGCCTGGATTGCGACTCCCAAAACAAGTGCTTGGCTCACAGCTTAGCTGCTGCCTGAGACCTTGCAGTGGCCAGAGGACACGTTGAAGGCAGATCTCAAAAAAATGGGTGCTGACATCCAGAGCTGGGAGGAGCAGGCTGCCAACTGGCTCCTGTGGTGCTGCAACCTCAACTTTGAAGCAGAGAAGGGAGAATGGAGAAAGGAAAAGGAGAGAGATCCTAGCCTATGGCTTACTGTCCTCTGCGGAAATATCTGCAACATTTGTGGATGGGTCTGTAGCTCAAAGTTTAGATTCTTGAGTCTCCTCAAGACCCATTAGTGAGCAGTGGTAGAGATCATCCTTGAATTAAGGGATTACTGGCAGCAGCAGTGGTTCACCAGCACACTTGCAGCCCAAAGGGAGGGACTCCTTTTGAAGCGCCCCTGTGTGCATAAATGACCCTGAAATGCAGTGCTTTGCCATTGGGTCTTTGTGACACTGGAGCATCTGGATGTTTGGTCCCCTTCTAAGTACCCTTTCTAAAAGATGTAAGCACATGACAGCAAGGTGGCTACTGTGTGTCATCTGGGAGTGCCTAGGAGATGTGAACATGGCCCTGTTGCATTGGGTTCTGGGTGTGCACCTGCACAGAATGGAAAATTGGTCCTTGCCCTAAGAAGATTAGCATGTTAATGTAAAAACAAAATCATGTTTGGACTGAATGTTTGTAGGATGTCCCTTGGCCTTAATACAGGATAAATTGGGGGTGGCCAACTTGACATGCATGTCCCAAGTGACATTGCTGGACATAAAAACAACACGTGGGTTTAGCAAACTAGGGTTTATTGCATAGTAATGGGCAACAGAGTCAGAATATTTAGCAGCACACCACATACTCATATCATACACTCGACATGCACACCATTCGCACTAAGTCACCTATCCGCAGCTCTTGGAGTCACATTGCGATGGCCAGTCACAGGCTTCAAGGCGTGGTGGGGCGCCGGGTCTCTCTCTTGACATGCCGGTAGGTTGGTGTTGGTGGTCAAGGCGCTCATCAGGCTGTCTTTTCACTGCCTTTTTATTTCCTTTTGGGCAGACTTCGACCAAATCCTGGAAACTTATGGAGGCGTCTTTACTAATCACCATTTACCTTTTTGCATGTATTTATTTTAGACTCTGTCACCAGTTACGTGTTGTTTTTCAATCCCATGTTGTACCAGCTCCACGTTCCTAAGACCCCTGTATTATCTTGTTACTTATTGTAGCTGGTTTGTACCAGCCTCCATTTAACCATTTCTCTTGCATCAGTCACAGCCCACAGACTTGCTTGCTGCTTTTAAAATTGTTGACACAGTTAAGATGGCAACTTAGCATAAGCATTTATAAGCAAAGTCATAGCATAAGTATAACATACTTTAAACAATAATAACATATTCCAAAACATATTTCAATAACATGGGTAGCTTCTTTGTGCCAGACAGCAGATCAGGAAGGGGAGAGGTGGCAGGGATCAGAAAGCAGAGCGTCAGATCTGGAAGGGGAAGGGAATGGGAGTGCCACTCGGGGAAGGTCTGGGGCGACTTTGGCATAGCAGACAAAAACATTGGCCTTCAATGAGATTAAAATATTGCAGTGATTTAGCAAACATGCTCTGAACTTTTGTAAAACTCTAGCGTGTTTAAAATGGATTGTTCAAGCAGCAGAAGTTTCTCGGGGGGTGGTGGTGGTGGGGGAGGGGGTTACAACAGTCAACAATCAGCAAAAGGATGCTTTTTTTTTGAGATTCCAGGCAGCTGAACAGAGCAGTTTTTCCTTCCTGTCTGGCTACCTCTATCTTGTTTGTCAAACAGCCAGCCTAGAAATTCCCTGGTTACTCAGCGGTCCAGTCCTGATTTTAAGAGTGGTGATAAGCTCTGCATATATGACTAAAATGTGGAAACAATCTGTACCCACTGGCTGACACTGTCATGTTACTCTCTGTTCTGTAGTACATCTTGCCTTTCCTTTCAAGGTTCTTAAAGTGCTTTACAAGTGTTAGTGAAGTAAACTACACAGTGGAGGTTAGCTGACTTCTGCAACATAGCCCAGATGAGTTGCCCAGCCTTGTACTTCAACTACTAGACTAGGGTTGTCCAATTTCTGAGTGGCTGGGTGCTGCAAGTCCCCCAGCCACATGCTTTGCCCCTTCCCACCCCACACTTCTTGCCCTGCCCATGCTGCGCTGTGTAGAAAGCAATGCCCCCACCAACCTCCTTCTGCTGCATGGTGCCAGTGCCTCCAAGCCTGAAGACTGTACTGTGCCACCTGCCTCTTCATGTCATGTGACAAGCACAATCCTGCTGTACCATGTGTAGGGTCCCTGGGTCCACCCAGCCACAGGCTCTCGGCCCTGCTGCCCTAACCCCAGGGGTAGGGGCTGGAAGGAAAGCCGAAGGAAGGAGAGAGAGCTTGGAGACTCCAGCAACAGCAGCTGAGTAGTGGGGGAGTAGTACCCAGAACAGGAGTCCAGGGACTGCAGGTTCATCTCTTGGGACCAGATGTGGCCCAGAGGTCCCAAATTGAACAGCCCTGTACTAGACCATAATCTGTTTCTGAAACTTAAAATAGCACTTAATCTGTAGTCTGTACACCCACTGTTTGCTATTTACAAATGGGTAACTTGTAACCTTAGCCTGGATGGTTGGGGACCTCAAAAAATTTTGGTAACTGTGACTGCAGCCCCAGTTTAGTAGCTGAGAAACCTGCCATTTACTGGAGTTCTCTTCTGGTAGAAATGTAGGAGATTGCATCTAGTCTTCTGTTCAAACAGGCTGAGTCAGGAGCTGTTTTCAGCCCTTCATGCTCCCCATGTAAAGGCAGTAAGTAACAGGCTGCCTTGCTTTTATTCTGTTTTGTTCTTGGTGGTTTCTTAGTCTTCATGTCCCTCCCTCCCTCTGGGACTCTTGACCTTTCATTTGCTTCATATCCTACCCCTGCCCATAATGGTTTTTTGCCACCTCACTTTGCCTGGGGTTGGGTTGCTGCCAGTGTTGTAGTTGCTTAAGCTCTGGTTCTCTCTGACAAGCTCAGGTCTTGGTGTTTGTAGCACTGCTCTGTATTTCTTAGCTGCTAAACTGGGGCTGCAGGGAAAAAGAACTCTGTCTATGCAGCACTCTCGTAATCAGACCTGCATTCTCAGTATACTCTCTCAATTTGTGAGCATCTATCTTTGTAGGATAAGATGCAAAAACACCCTAGTGCAAGAAGCAGGAAAGCAATTTAGTCTAGGAAGTAAAGGATGTGATTTACCCTTAGGTCACTGTAGACTGTCCTATATGGTCAAATACTGAAGGGCTTAAACTTTAAACAGGCAGGGGTTGGTTTGGGACAATTGCCAGCTGATTTTTTTTTTTTTTTCCTTAAGCCAGTATCTTTGTGGTGGCTCAAGAACCTAAACTCTTTACAATAGTTCCCAGCTGCTGTTGTCACAAAGCAAACATTCACAGTGTGAATTGGTATACGTTGATGCTCTAATGTCTGTCCAGCTCTGCAGTTGGCCTGAAGCAATAGGGCTGAGAACTACAACAACTCCTATTCATCAGAAATAACCAACAACCGTCATGCTTAATAACTTAAATGTCAACATGAATGGTTTCCCTGCCGATCAAAGCAAAAAAAAAAAAAGATGATTTTAGAATGCATGATGCGGTACTTGA